GATTTCCCAGTGTTAGCCACCTCAGCTATCTGTCGATAGTACATCCCATGCAGGAGCTTGTCTTGCCATGGCACTTTCTCTGCCTGAGCCTCCTCCCCTGTTTGCTGCTGCCTCAGGCATTCTTGCAGCAGCTCATCTTTTGGTGCCATCTTACTGATGTACTCCTGGATGCTCCGGGTTTCGTCCAGGACAGTGGCTTTGACACTCACCAGACCCCGCCCGCCCTCTTTGTGGCTGGTGTACAGTCTCTGGGTGTTGGACTTGGCGTGGAAACATCCATACATTGTGAGGAGCTTCCAGGTCTTCACATTGGCAGCTTCCATATCCATACATACATACACACATACACACACATACACATACACATACATACATACACACACACATACATACATACTGTATGTGTGTATGTATGTGTATATATATATATATATATATACACACACACACACACACACACTCACACACACATACATACTGTATGTATGTGTGTATATATATATATATATATGTGTGTGTGTGTATGTACACATGTGTATATATATATACATATATATATATATACACACATACACATATGTATGTATGTATGTATGTATATATACACACATGTATGTATGTATGTTTATTCTCATAGATATTAAATAATATTTGGTGAGCTGGATGGAGGGTGAACCTGTGTTCCCCATCTGCCTGTCCAACACCATACCTGCTGCATCCTTTATGCAAGTGCCAAGCAAGAAAAAAACATCTACTTAAAAAAGAAATAATTGAAATAGTAATTATGAGAATAAGCAAACGGGATTTTGAGGGTTGTCTTCACTCGTGGGCAAACACAGCTATTTGTTAGTGTGCCCGTTTGCTTAGTTTGTGTACTACTGTACTTTCCTGTCTTATCTCCCCCGCCTCGCACTTATTTTCATTCTCCCATCATTAGAACTTCAGTGTCGCACACGCGTTTGCACTCAAGTTCTGCAGGAAACGGCCACCAGGGGGCGCCCTGGGCACCTAGCGGCTTCCAGCTTCAAAAAAGAACACAATTCGATCAGCTGTTGCAGCCCTTGGAAGTTTAGAGGAAGTGGTGGTGCTTGCCCAGAATCTTGCCTCTCTAGGAAGGAGCACTCTTTCTCTTTAACCCTTACACAGACAGGGGAAGAGTGCAGAGGTAGATCGTTTCTCATAAAGAGCAAAAGTAGCCATGGTTGCTCTCACCAATAATAACAATAACAGAGGCAGCGCTCTGTGTAATGCTGCTTATCCTGAAGGGGCGTAGTGTGGTGGGTATATATGCATGCAGACCCCCCTAAAGCAGGAGACAATGACATCATGTTATTCCCCCTTTGCTCGCAAGAGATATCTGGTGCCTGCAGTCCTGGGGAGAGGAAGGGGCTGATCTGGGGAAGCTGTCCCCCTCCTGTTGCTTGGAGGAGTCTTGGGGGTCTCCGGGGAGAGAGGGAAGTTTCAGCCGCAAGAGAGACATTTCTGTGCTGGAAAATTCCCACAGGTGGGCAAGGAAGCCTTAAGAGAGGGGTCTGGGTGGTTTTGGAGAGCTGGAAAATGGTTCTGGAGCATCCTGCCCTAAGAAGATGGACCTTAGACCTCTTTTGCTCCAGGACTGCCTAACCTGCCCTAACCTTGTAGGTATGCTGAGAAAGATGGATCACAGGTAGATCCTGATGATGCCTGTCTTGGGAGAGGGAGGTAAGTAGAATTTCCCTTCATCTGAGAGAGACTCAGATGGTGTTACTCCCAACTTTCCTCCTGCTCTGGTTCTTTCAGACAAAGCTGCTTTGGAGGTCCCAAAGCTCTCTTAGAACTGCTTTGAACTGGGCAGCAGCCCAGAGAGAAGATGGATGCAAAAGAGCAAGAAGGGAAGGGAGCAGGAAAATGCCTTCCTACTGTTCAGGCTGAGAGTGGGGGATTTGGTGAAAGAACTGGGCAGATGATTCTGGAACAAGACACCTTCACTTTGGCTGTACAGCACCAGCTGTTCAGGAAGTTCTCCTACCAGGAGGCCAAGGGACCCCGAGAAGTTTGCAGCCAACTCCACCAGCTTTGCCATCAATGGCTGAAGCCAGAACAGAACACGAAAGCTGAAATGCTGGACCTGGTGGTCCTGGAGCAGTTCCTGGCCATCCTGCCCACGGAGATGGCGAGCTGGGTGTGGGAATGTGGAGCTGAGACCTGTTCCCAGGCGGTGGCCTTGGCCGAAGGCTTCCTCCTGAGCCAAGTAGAGGACAAACAGAAGCAGGTGAGAGTATTTAATCCTGTACTAAACATTATTCTTGATTTTTTAAATGCTTCTATACCAGGATTTTTTTAAAAAAATTCCTAGCATGAGCAGACTTTACTACCTTTTCCCAGAAGAGATAGGAAATTGAAAACTTACTCTATCCCCACTTATGGGATGGATTCTTATAATAAAAGACAAGAGTGTGTTCATTCCTGTGTGCTGTGCTGCTAATCCTCCTTGCTGGTATTCACGTGCAGGGAAGGCCTGTTGAGGGAGATGCAGAACATCCAAGGCCAAGGAGGGTTTCCTGGGAGGATCGACCTCAGGATGTCTTATCAGGTAAGATGAGGTCTCCTGTTCCCCAGACAAAGCTCAACTCTGACTCCTCTCATCTTCAGGGACTGCTTTTGCAGCATGAATTTGAACCTGGATGAGTTTGTATAGAGTATCTCCCCAATAATATTTTTTGAAAGTCTCCTTCCACCCTCTTTGTCTCCCTCACAGGGGAAGGTATGACATCATTTGTACATCTTGAAACATCTCCTTTTCATGGTGGAGCAGAAACTGCAGCTGTGCCCCCAGCTCAGGTAGGCGGACTGTCAAGAAATGATATGTGCTGAGTTGATTTGTGGGCTTTGGGTTTATAAAAACACTTGGGATATAATAATCCCATTGCAGGAATTGAACCTGGTCTTAAGTATGACACAGTTAGACCTCCTCAGCTCAATCATGGACCTAGTGGAATAGAGGTAACCAAGATAGGACTCTCTTTGTATCCTGATGAAAAATGGTATTCAGGAGACCACACCACCACTGCCCCAGAATGCCAACATACATTTTAAGAGAAATAAAACCTCCTTCAGGTCAAGCTGGTAGCTTCATGGACCCATCTTTGCCATTTTCTTTGCAATTATAAAGGGGTTTCCCATTGCCTACAAGCCCCCATTGCCTACACACCCCTTCAACACTAACCAGGCCTAGTTCTGTTTAGCTTTGAAGCCCAGACAAGGAGGCCAGATGTTTCTACCTGCTGAGATAGCTCCGTCTAAAGCTGGCAGACTCCCTATTGTGGTATTAAGCTTTAGTTTATTAGCTCTCATCTAGCCAAATATTCATATGATAAACAGCTTCCTGGAATGCAAAAAAGAATGAAAAAGAGAGAGAGGGAGAGCACGAGCAAAATTTGGGCTATATGTTGTCTATTGATCCCACATTGCTTGACCACATTAAGGTTCTAAAGCTTTGGATAATCTCAACTTTAGCCCTTCAAATGGTTAAAAGTTGGCTTTTCTTAACTTGCACTAAGGATGGAGGTAGTTGTCCGTAAAACCTCTTGAAATATGCACCAGACCATACTTAGTGCTTTGTAAGATTTTGGGTAATCAAAGAAAGTTTCTGGTCTCAAAAATAAATTCAAGATAAGTTATTCCAGATTATGCTTAGCCTGTATTTTGAGAGGAGATAGGATCAAAATGTCAGATTTGAAGTTCACAGTAGAATATATTTGGTCTTGCCATTTATTTCTTGTTTTACAGTCTACGGTGAGGTTTTGAAAACGAGAGCAAAAAGGATATTTTCTTCCTGCTTTCTACAGAAAAAGGAGAAGGTTTAGACATTTTCTGTATAGACTTTGATAGGTGTAGCTTTCTTCCACCATAAATGTTCCACCATAAATATTTCTGATTTCTAATTTCTCCTTGAATTGTACAATTCTCTTTAGCTTCCTCTGTGCACCCAGAGAATTCTTGCTTGGATTCATCTTCAAGATAAATGTTCATTCCTCCCTTAGTTGGAGATATGCAGGAAGGAGTTGGGATTCCCCATCTGGGCCTTGAGTTTAAGGTTCCAAGGAAAGAGTGAAACCTTCTCAGAGGGACATTGTAGGAACTTGAGAAGGATATCAAACAGGGTGTCCAGGAAAAAATTGAGATATGAGTTGGATGTTGCCTCCTAGACCTTCTCTGGCCAGGTGATCCATAGGATATTATGGATGCTGGCTCTGAAGCTCCAATAGAATTAATAAAGCTAATAATCACAGGGAGCTCGACCTATTTTCTTCCACAAAATTTGGTATCCCACAAAGAAAACGGCCATTGATACCATTGCAAATATCTGACATCCTGACTTTGTGTTCGTATGTTGCATGGACCTCCAGACTGGTGGGACATGAGCAACAGTATGCTGCTTGCCAAGGGAGTTTCTGGCTCAGAGATCCTAGCTTGCATAAAAGATTGTGAGCAAGCTTGGGATAAACCTGGATTTTGGTTGAGCTTGAGTCATATTGGCCAAGGTGTGTCAAAAACTGGGCAGTGCTTATCAGGGAATGCCAGAAGTGGTATGGCTATGTCGGATGCTAGTAACCTAGTCTATACCTTTCTCTATTACTAAAATATCTTGACTTTTTTGACACCCCATTCTACCCCCACAGACACCCTTGTCTGAGCTTAACAGTGAATCAAGAATGTTTCCTCCTTCTTATTTGTTGTTCAGTCGTTAGGTCGCGTCCGACTCTTTGTGTCCCCATGAACCATATCGTGCCAGGCCTTCCTGTCCTTCACCGCCTCCCTGAGTTTGCTTAGTTTCATGCTCATTGCTTTGGTGATGCTAT